TTTCTTTTTGTTGTCAATTTATATTATCTTTCAAATAGCTATTGGAATAATAAATAACTGTCAGAAAATGATAGTCTTAATATCAATTTAGAATAAGATTGCAGAGGAATGTTTTGTTGCACTTATTCTGAGCTAAATTGTTTAACATGAGTCGGGTGTGAGTATGAATTAGGGGTGTCACTTTATCTTTATTATACTTTGAAAAAGTAAAGTAAAGTAAAGATAAAGTGATACCCCTAGTGTGAATCAGGAGAGAATTCACAACACACACACCCTCTAGTGAAATTATTATTGATGTTTTATGAGTTTTTTTTTCGGTTAATAATGGCATAAAATTTCTAATCTCAATAATCAATCTTTTTATTTATTTGAAAACAAGTATATACAAACATAAAATGTTTTTCTAAATACAACGAAAATTTTACCACCACAAATACAATTTACGATCAATATGGTTTATCGAATAATCATCAACTACTTTTTCTAATTTAATAAATTTTTTCATTTCCTTCAATGATACTTTGGGTGCATGTAAAATACATAAAAAGTATAAATTTTGAATACTTTTGTCATTTTTTGATAATAAAAATCGCACAATCGATAAAAATTCTTTTCGATTCATTCCACTTGTTAGTTGTTGTAATCGAGGACATAAACCAACAAATAATTGAATATTTTTCAATGTGCAACATTCATCAATAACCAAATGTTTAATCATATTCTTATTTGATATCATTCGAAATGCTTCACTTTGTTGAATTGGTTCATATTCAGTATCCTTTATTGATGTTCTACGAAGTTTTAATGAATTTAAATTAACTGTTGAATATAATAATTTGATCAATCGTTTAAAAGGAAATTCATAACATTCAATAACTAATTTCTTAAGTTTTGATAAACGAAGAATACGATTAAGATCGATTGCAATTGAATCATTAGATAGATCAAGAGTAAGTTCAGTAACATTTGGAAAATAATTAATAATACTACTATTTTTAGATAGTGTACCACATACAAGAACATGATTAATTTTATCGAAATTTGTTTGTTGATAAAATTGACAATTATTATCATCTGTTCCATAGTATAAAGTACAATCTTTTCTCCTAAACAATGAAAAATAAGTTTGAATCATCTTAAATTCTAATATTCATACTTATATGGATTTGTTGAATAAAAATATCCTGTATGACAATTTCCTTCTTGTTCATGATGATGTGTAAAAAACCATTGTCGCTTAGTCCAAAATGGAGAAGCAAAATTCTTAATCATATCATGATATATTTGTTGAGAATTATTATCAAATCGTTTTACATCCATATGATATAAATCAAAAACTTTTAAATTTTTCATATGATTTGAAATCAATCGTTGCCATCGATTTGCATTTAAGTAGTCATTATAATATCCTGATGAAAGATATAAAGATTCAACTTGTTGGAAATAACCGATAATCATTTGCTCAAATTGATTAAAATCAAGACATTGAACTTTAAGATTAACATATGTTAAAGATTTTAAATGAATTGAATCAAGTTTTAGTTGTTTATTATAAATACCCTCAAGATAATCAATTGATAAACGATGAAGATTAGGAAAATAAGATAAAATATCATTTATTTCATCAAGTCGAATATAATCATTAATAATAAGAGTTTCAATAGGACTGTATTCATGATCATCATCATCATCATCAATCAGTAACAATAATCTATCATCTTTTTTTGTTTCACATGTAATTTTAAAATACTTTAAAGTTTGTAAAGAAAAAATTTGATAATAAAAATAGTTTGGAACTTGAATTTGATCAACAACATGAATAATTAATGAAGAAAGATTAGGTAAATAATAAGGAATACTATAATCAATTATATCTTCAAGATATGTTGCATGCATATTATCAAGAATAAGTGTTTGAATTCGAATAAATTTTAAACTTAAAAATGATGATGAAAACATAAGATCAATTGTAAATGGATTTATTAAATGAAATAAAGTTATTCGATGTCGATTTGAAAGAATCATTTGACGATAATAGTTATAAAAATTTAATTTTGATATCGATGGAAATCTAATTTCAATTGGTAGATTTGATTTAATAAGAAGATTTTTAAAACGTTGATTAAGATCATAAAATGATTCATAAATATCATATTCATCAAGATAATCAAATATTTCATACATTAAATCATTTGATAGATCTTCAAAATAAGTTCTTAAGTAAATGAAAAACATATATATATATATGAATAATACAAGGTGGTCCAAAAGTCAATGGGCACTTTTCATTTGCTGTTAACTGTTTCATTTTATTCTGTAGACTTGTGATAATCTTTTTTTTAGAAAGTAAACAGGATATTTAAATAATACAAAATAAAAATAGATGTGAAGTTGAACGGTTATTAGCAGCTAAAAAGTGCCTGGACGAGTTTTTAAATTATAAAATCTTTACTAACTTTTTTGTATCACTTGCTAATACTAAGAAGAAAAAAAAAATACTATAAGTTTATAAATAATTTATTAGTTTTACCTCGTAATTTTTTGTTTGTTTTATTATCATTATCATCAATAATGTTATCCTGTTGCCGTTTGATTTGGTTCATGTTGATACGAATATAAAAATATCTAAAATGTAATCGAGCAGACTGTTTTCAATTGATAACACGTGCATATATGATAGAATATAAAAACAAAAAGTCAAGAAAAGAAAAGTCATAGATAGACATCATATATGAATTATCTAATAAACATACTGCACAAACGATCGAGAATGATCTTTGTTTAAAAGTCTATGTCGAATTTTTATTTAATTATTTTCAAAGGAGGGAGGGGCGCATTCGTTCATAAATCGATCTGTCAGACGTTTTTCAACAGGTCTCTACTATCTTATATCAGACGAAAGAGCTCGTTGAGATAAACATTTTTGATGACAGAGCTAACTTTTTTTTTCATGAGTGAATAAAAAGTTTGAGCATGATCACTATTCGAGTTTTTTTAGTCCTAAATTGCTTTTATGATAAATATGATATAATACACCTAATTCATATGATGATAACAAGAAAAAAGAAGACTTTTTTACTTCATCGAATATATCATATGATTCTCTAGCATCACTATAAATATCAAGTCTTTTGCTTTAGCCCTTTTGATTTTCTAGTCAAAATTCGAAAAATCATCTTTAAACTGTCACGAATGCCCATTGTAGATCTTCGTTCTCTTGAACTCCAGGAGCAAACATCATCATTTTCTTTATCAGTAAGAACTCTTTACACTAGCTACAAAATACACTTATTAAAACTAAGAAAAAATTGGGGAAAGACATTTAAAAATAGCATTAATTAATACATATATATGAAACTTATAATGTACGTGATGGTGCGCGTACATATTGTTTTTTTTTAATAAGCGTATGGAAAAGTATGAGAGTAATGTATACTTTTTTTTACCGCAAATCATGTAGTATATTTATGAGATACAAGAAAATATACTTGTTTTTAGGGTGTGGATGTTGATGTCTATTGGATCCGTTCCATACCCACACCCATCCAGTTAATTAATAGGACAAAGAGTCATTCATTAAATTAAATATTCACCGATTTTGTTTTCTTAGAACTGCTGGAATTGCTGAAGATAATTGATTATGGATGCGGACTCAGTTATTCAAGTGTAAAGATCTCTGATGATCATGATAGGAAGCTATTTGATATTGAATCATGTGGTGTTAAGTAACCCGTAGGCAATAGTGAACATTTCACAAAAGTTTTATTATGTTTTTTTTTTATTTAAAGCAACATAAACTATTGTTGATAGTAAATAAATTTTCAAAATTGTTCTATGAAATATTTAATTGTCGCTGATGATTTGCTACGATTGTCGATCACTATCTTGTTCACTTTTATCCAAGAAAAAAATGTTTAGACATCTATTTACAAATATCTCTATGAATTGACTATCAATATGAGAAAATATTCTTTTTTTTTTGACTTATTATAGTCAGACTGATTCATCTAGAGTTCCATAGAGTGATCGATTAATTTGGGAAAATAACTAAATTAGATAGAAAGGCAAGAATATTTGTTTTTCTTGTTTAACAAAGATATTAAATGCTAATTTATGGTACTACTAATTGTCGAAGTTTATAATTTAACAACTGATTTAAAATATATTAAATAGAGAAAATTAACAAAAAAATCTTAAACATTTTCAAGAATAAATGTGATAAGCATTTAACAAGTTAAAATTGGATAAAACAAAAGGAACTTTTATTCCATAGACAAGAGTAGATGTCTAATTCGAGTTCGAAAATAAATGAAAAAAAAAACGACTTTCATGTCGTTACAACATCAAAGCAAAAGAAAAACTTTCACTCCAACATGCCCATGTTAATTTAGGAAAAGATTTTTTTTCGAGGGTGTGGGTGTGGGTGTGTGGGTGTGTGGGTGTGTGGGTGTGGGTGTGGGTGTGTGGGTGTGGGTGTGGGTGTGTGAGTGTGGGTGTGTGGGTGTGGGTATGGGGGTAGTTGTTTCTTTATCCACATCCAAACCCACCCCCACCCCCCCACACCCACCCCCAC